TAAATATTTATGCTTATTATCACCCTAATTAAAATAATCAATTACACTGATATCTCAATTACTGATCATCACATTTGAATAAAATTTGGTACATAAATGCTCTAGAACAATAGACAGGCCTGATTAATTTTGGGTTGAAATTTGTTCATATTAATTCTCTAATAATAATTCATAGTTTTTTTGTTCTAATCACATTTCAATGAAACTTGGTACATAGATATTACATTACGCAGGCCTTATTAGTTTTACACTCAAATCTGTTCATATCAGTTACCTGATTTACATAATTAGTTCTCAGCTATTCATCAATATCCCAAGTACAAGTAATTTTGAATTAATTTTTAATGTGTCTTCAATAATCTCAGCACAAAGGATTTCTTTTTAAGCTTTCTTTGATCTTTTTATAATTTTAGACAGAATAGATATAATTTTTCATAGGCTTGAAGGTCTACACGTAGATAACAATATTGATTAAAGGTTTATTTTGCCTTACATTTTGTAAGCCTTATTTTTAAATATTGTGAGCAACAGTGTTGATGTGATTTCAGATATACTTATTGATGGTGAAAAAACCACCAAGATAATTAGCCTAGTAGGTCTAGTACCCACCAATCAGGCACCTGTAACTAAAAGAACTTTTTTCTCATTGGTGAAATGTCTGGTTATGAATATTCATTTTTGACTCTGCAGGTTACACGAGTTTATCTGGCATGGGGCAAATGAGAAAGTCAACAAAACTGTGATGATAGCAGGCTATAATAGATTTACTAAACTCACCATCATACCGGGTCATTTTTATTACAACGTGAGTATTAATTAATTTATAACTCTAATTACACATTAAGGTAAATTAAGGTATAACCCTATTCTCATAAATAAAAGAAATACAGAATATAAATATCTAATATTGCTCAAAAATATGTTTGGCCTCACCAGCCTGTTATTGGAGAAAAAGATGGTTTTCTTTCAGTGATTGGCAGCCATTTTGTCAGTATTAGTAGCCTTTTACCATTGGTTCTAATAGTGGAGACATTAGACCACATCTCAAAATTTTGCCTAGTGGCAAAGAGTACAAGCAATTTATGTTGTGACTGATCAGTTACATTTTTTTTGTCCTGAAATATTCCAAAAAAAATTTCACACAGTGATAATAAATATACATGTACTATTCTGCTTTAACATTAGAATCATATTGTTAGTTATATAGAACTGTTCTAAAAACAGACATTTTTTAGGAATACATACTTTTAGGAATAATTTTCACAAAATAAAATACTGTAACACGTAAGAAAATGCTATATCTTGTTGCCATTGTATTATAGTTTCATAATTATACATAATAATTCAATGAACATTGCTGTGAGATTGATAACTATTGCAGCTTTATTCAACTACCTTATAATTCTGTCTCGCTATTATGAAAATGAACTTCACCAGAATTCCCTGATGAATGAAAAGCTGTCTGTGTTAATGAAACATGTCACCTTCCTCTTAAGATCTGATTGATTGTTCAGGAGGATTGTTGTGTTTCACGATCTATGCAAATGCTTTGATAGACATTAGTCATGGCAACTGAGGAGTTAAGAACTATTATGTTGTGTGTTATTATTTGTGCCAATTGGTTTTCTTACTTTTATACCAGGTACGGGAAGTGCGTACATATGACGATACACAGATCGTTGTCAAGTTAATGTTGTTTTATGAACTCAAAAATATTGAAAAGATGGTAAGTATATATTGTAGAATTTCATATTTTCCAGTTTGTTTTTGTTGCAACATTACAATCTGATTATTTTGTGGACAATTTTTATGTCAATGTATGTGTTGGAAATCTATATTCCATCCTCCATTTAAGAATGACAAATGTTTTAATAAAGTTCCCTGTGGTGGTCACTATACACAGGTTTGAAGTTCCTTTGTTCGCTA